GTTATAAGAAAACTAATTTTCAGAAAATTATACTTCACTATTAGCTTACAACTTAAGAGATGTTTTATCTGTATTTTTAATGGATACACAGGATTTTTAGTTGTAGATGGACACAATATCTTTATTTATTTTTATGTGGTGCTGAAGATCAAACCCAGTGCCTCACACGTGTTAGGCAAGTGCTCTATCACTGAACTACAATCCCAGCCTTTATCTGCAGGTTTAATCAATCAACTAACTGATAATAGACCTCTTAGACCTTAGTTCTTCTAACCATATACTTTACAGTAAAATCAACACAGTGATGTATAAAAGCATTTCTTTTTAAAGGAACCCATAAAAGAAATGGCCTGCTTTGGGTTTTTAATAAAGTACTTTTGTCTTAATCTATCAATGTTAGTATAAGCTTTTTAAATAAATTATGAAAATTGTTTAAAATTCAGCACATACAGAAGTCCAAAGGACCAAATAACACTGTGTACATTAATCATATACTAACTGTCATATGATAAGCATCTGTCATAAACGCTACTCAAAGAATCTTTCCTTCCTTGAGACATATCTTTAGGCTCACACTCCTGAAATATAAGATTATAGCTACTTTTAGTCACTATGCTCTTCTGTCCCCCATAATAAGCATCTCTAAGGATAGGTAGCAAGTAGAGATAACATCATATTTCTGCAGGAATTTCTTCAGTTAGTTCTTAAAAAGTTTCAGTCTTTCCCACTTATAATCATCCTGTTTAATGTTTGGCCATGAATACTTTTATTTAGAAGGTCAGTCAAGCCATTCAGTGAAAACCACTGCTTTATTGATTACTGGGCTTTGGGGTGGTACTAGGAGATAATTGTGAACTGGGTACTAAATGTCCCTAAATACCAAAGACCAGTTAGTACTAAAATTGACAAATTCACAAACTAAGTTTTTACCAAACTGGAAATAATGCTATGAAATTGTCGTTTCTACCTGTGGAAGAGACAAGAGTACCCTTTAGATGACAAGCTTGAATTTCACATGTATGGCAACACAGAAGTAGGCAATCAGGAACTTTCACATAGAAATACAAATTCAAACTAGTTCTGGGTGCAGAACTGACAAAGATCACAAGAAATCAACTGGTTAACCCCTTATCTGAATTTAGGAAGGATATATTCTCTATTTTACCACAAAGAAAACAAGATCCCAAGATTTCCCAAAGCCTTCCTTCTACAATTCAGTGGTTTTCCAATTTTTTGAATAATAGTAACACATACATATTTACATCACAAACCCTTACATGTGCTATTTTCATTTACATATATGTGAATTTGCTTCACAAATTAATTAAAATAATTTATCCCCTTACTCTTTGCAATGCACTGATATTTGCTATTCAACTTTTTGAGCTACTAAGCATGAAACATTAAATTTATTTCTCTACCCATTAAGGAGTGACAACACCCAGTTTAAAAAACTGTTTTTAAAAAACTGTATCAGAAGGTAGAGTCTCAACAATTAAATTGTATTCACCATAACTATAAATACCACTGTGTTGCCTTTCTACTGCATACATTTACTGATTCTTAACGTTATACACAAAACAACACAAAAATACTTAAAGAAAAAAAAAAAGGATAGTATGACAAGTAGAATCAAGGAACAGAAAAGCCAAAACTAGGCCAAAAGAGAACCTCAGGCTAACTTTAATAATCAGAAAGATGTGTGGTAAGATCAACTGATAACACATTAAAGAATGTTTAAATGCTACCATTTTCAAAAATTCCATCAAATATACTGTATTCATCAAGTAAACTGTAAATCTGTTAAGTAAATCTTTTCTTTAGTAATAATATAAAAATAATTAACACTCTCAGCTAGGAAGAATAATATGTCAACTTAAAGGTATGAGACCTTACCGAAATTGCAGATGTTTCTGGTTTCTCCTCATACAATCATCTTGAGAGAGATATACCCACATTTGTAAACTAATGTTGCAAAAACATTTGTCATATAAGGAAGGAAAATACAGAACATGCAAAAGGGGGACAATTAGGAAGTTTGAAAAATAGCAAACAGGAATTCTTAAAGAAATTGGGAAAAAAATAATATGGTAAAATTAACTCTTCTCTTTCCCTCCTCTCCCCATCTTTTTGTAAAAAACTAACAGTATCAGAAAAAAAAAAAAGAATACAGAGCATTTTAAATCTATTTTCCTCAAATCATAACGCTCTTCCCTAGTGTTCACCAAGAATACTGCCTTTAAAATCCTAGAGATCCTGGCAAAGAAAATCTTGAAAAAGTCTAGAGTTGAGGGAACTTTAAGAAACAGGAATACTAAGCATTTATGATCAAACTAAGTTTAAATGATTTTATCCTTTAAATGTTAACAGGGGCCACACCAGGGTTCAAGTTAAGTACGTCAAACAATGAAAGTAAAAATAATACCCTCTCATTTCAAAGAGAGGAATTTTAGTTGAGCTGTGACCCTTTAGCAACTTTATCCTGGTTGAACTCTTCTACATGTATAAAAATGTCTAACACAGTCACATCTCATTCTAGCAATATTAAGAAAACACTATTATTTGATATAAAATTTGCAGTAGATTTTTTTTTTTAAGGAAGAGTAGTTCTCTTGCTTACTCCCTTCCTCTAAACTCACACAAGCCCAGGAATCTTTTATAAAGAAAAGAGAAAATATTAAAGTGAAGATGGTCAATGGGAGACATGTGTTCATTATTTGGCAGCATATCTCATATAACAGTGATCAGCTGATCATATACTACCACCCAGTTCCTAACCTACAACTTTCTATCAACAAAACTTTAGACATGTAGCTTCTTCTCATTTCACTCAACTTTATGTAAACATGATAATAAACTCATTTTTCACCATACAGATTTATTTTGAAAAGAAGTCTTGAAAAGGCTGTTTAATTAGCATATTGACTAGTATTAAAAGCCATTTTTAAAGGGATTTTCCATCTTTTAAGATATACTGCACATTTTATAATATACTTTTTTAAAAGCATTTAAGATCACAGTGGCTTTGGCCAAAGCTATCTTCTTGTTGTCTTGCCCACATCTCATTATTTTCTACAATAATGCATTCACTACACTCTTGCTATCTGTACGATAAGACAACATCCACAGATGTATTTTTAAAATTTCATCTCCTTTTAAATTTCAAAAAGAACAAAAAATGATGCTTCAGCAAACAGGATATTCCCAGTCATTCCTTGTAATTGTTGGGGGGAGAAGGAGTAAAGAAATAAAGAAAAAAGATGTGAGACACCTTCTTCAAAGATGCCTAGCTAGCCTTCTCCCAAAGTTAAGGTTTACTAAATTATATTAGAGATCTCTTTATGAAGATACAGTCTACTATACATTTTGACTGTTACTTTCATACTTACTGTAAAGTTAAACTCTTATCAGTGAGGAAGCATTTCTTCTGACCTGTAGTGCTCTGATAAAATCCAAAACTTACCAATGTTATTTAAAAAAAAAGAAAGAAAAAAAAAACTATTTGACAAATTCCAAACTGAACAAATAAAATTGCTAGCTTCCCCAACCCTCCCAACTTCTTCTACCTATTCCCTAGCTAGGCACAAAAGGTCAAAAACTCTTATGATTATTTCTTTGCTCAAAGAATATAATCAAGAGAATATGAAAACTGTTTCTCTCTTTTGTTAAACTACTCTGAGTCCTCCTCAACTAGGCTTCAGTCTGGACCTATAAAAACTAAATAAAGATTCAAATACAAATGAATTCATCCACTCTTGCCCCTACATTAAAAGACTTTAGTAAGCACTAACATACTAACAGCCAAAAGTTGCATCCTTAGGATGACTCTAGGCCTCCCTTAACATGTCTACCCCTTTATAAGCTCAAGGTTGCCAAAAGAATTTACTGTTTGTTCTAGTCAAAACTTGAAGACAGGTCCTTCTTAGAGCTTTAACTGAAACGGGTTTACAACTGTGAATCCTTCCTCTGTCAGTCTGAGATACATGTTTCTCCTCCTACAAAACTGAAGTGTCTTTCTCAATGGCCTGAAAGCTACTATTTTAAAATATAACCACCAAAAAGGATAAGTTTTCTTCATCTCCCAGTCTCTATAGGAAAACAAAATCTTAACTTTGATAACTACCTAACAGCTAATAGACACAAATGGCATGACCAGCATATTTTACCAACTCTTTGTAATTTTTTCACTTCTCTGAGTCTACCAACGCTCAATTCATCTCCTTCCTACTCTCATTCTCCCTTTAGAAGGCCTATCACTTCTGTGCAAATTGAAAATTCAGTTCAGTTCATATTAGATTCTTCTCTATTGCAACAGTGTGTCGCTGATTATCTTTACCATTTTGCTTACCTTTGACAAAATGAATAAAGAAGGAAAGTTAAACATAATTAGTAAAAATTTGGCTATTTTATATAAAATCACTAGATAAAAAGTTCTTTAAAAAAAACACTAGAAGAGGATCATAATTCAAGAAATCAATCAGTTTTGGGGGGCTAGAAAAGGTCCCCAGCAAAAATCAAGCTCCAATCTCTCATTCTACAAATGATGAAACTAAGGTCCAATAAGATTGACTTACCAAAGGTGATTTCAATAAGGGATTTGATTTTAGAAGGGGCTAACTCAGCATGATTCTCTGACTCCAACTCGAAAATATTCTTCCTCTTGTATTCTCATCGATAAAGCAACATTCACCATTAATCATTCAAAACAAGATCAGAAATGAATATATATTATCTGCCTAAAACACACATTTTTATAATTCCACTGTACACCAACAATAACACAGGAAAGTTTGGTTCAAGTAACATGAAACTCCATTTCAACAGTCCTAGGCAAATATATGAACCGCCTTGATGAGAAAAAACTGCTTTTACACACAAGTTTAGAAAACAAACTCCCATGCATAAATACGAAGAGCGCGAAATGATTTAGATAGTCTTAAAAATATTTGCCAAAAGAATAAAAATAAAAATAAATTTTAAAAACCCTTTTCTGCACTTACCAGCAAAGCATTTGGAACAGAGATTCATAGTCTTGCTGGACCTGGGGCAAAAAAAAAAAAAAAGAAAAGAAAGAAAGAAGAGCTAAAAATTCTGTATCAATCTAATTAAAACATAAGATGTTTGAAATGTAGGCAAAGAATTTCCTGAATTTCCTGGCCAGACAGGAAACTAATAAATGAGTAACAAGTTCCTGACTAGCCACCCCTCCCCGCAAAAAAAACAAACAAAACAACAAAAAGTAAATATACCATATGGTTTTCGCTTTTTACCTGTGAGTTAACCAATGCTTTACTTCATTTGCTATAACTAACAGCTCGGGCAGCAATAACTTTGGAAATAATATAATATGCCCAAAAGATAGCACAGGATTCAATGTGTCCCACCTACCCTCTATTCATACTCATTTGATTTCTGTAACATTATTAGAACTTTTTTTATTTTTGGTGGGGGTGCTGGGGGTTGAACCCATAGGCACTTTATCATTGAGGTATATCCACAGCCTTTTTAATTTTTTTTTTCCAGACAAACTCTACGTTTCTTAGGACCTCACCAAAGGCATGTACCACTGCACCTGGTATATTACTTGAACTTTTATCTCTTTTTTTCTCTCATTAAAGTTCAGTTCCTAGTCACATTACAACCCTGTAGTTTAAAATTCTTCTTTAGATGTTCTCAAATTATTTTTCATGCCCTTTCATCTTTTAACATTAACTACAATTCATTGACTACCACCTTGAATGGGCATTTAACATACATTATATTATTAATCTTCCCAAGAGATGAGTATTACCATATTGCGTTTCTTCTAAAATGCATTTTTTGTTTTGCTTTGGTACTAGAGATTTAACCTAGAATCACTTGCACTAATCTACTTCCCCAGCCCTTCTTATTTTTTTTTAAACAGGGTCTCACTAAGTTACTGAGGCTGGCCTCAAACTTGTTATTCTCCTGTCTTGGCCTCCCAAGAGGCTGGATTACAGGCATGTGCCACCACAGCTGGCTCTAAAAAAAATTTTTTTTAATCACATTACCATTTCTGTAACTAGAAAATATTTTACAGTTGGCTACATTATGAATAATTTAACAAGGGAATGTTACCCCCATCTCCTCCAAGGTGTTATTAAGCTGAAGAGTCTTAGAAATCAAGAACATACAACCTGAGAGGTTACCATCTTGTCCGACATAATGTAGCTGGATAATTGCAGAGGGATACCTGGCCTGGAGTTTGAGCTACCTCCAAAGGCCATCCAGTCTGTTCAAAACACACCTGACACCACACAGCAGACCAGGGACTACAAGCCAGGATGTCAATAAGGACTCATCTGTTGAGTTCATTTCCCTGCTATTTCCTTTCTTGATACTTTACCAAGTGGACCCATTCTTACAGAAGAGTCAACTTTCTTACAGAAAGTCAACTTTCTTCTTGCCTATGTACTAAATTTTATAATTATAGAAAGTCTCCTTCAGGAAGTATTTCCTGATGACTATGATTGTTTTCCAACATAACAAAATCCAAAATCTAACCATCACTGTCACAGAGTGCACGATGGGGTGGGGGAATCTATTTCTCTTTCTCGGAGGAAATGCTAGGTCAAAAAGTGAAATTTTTTTTTAGAATTTTGCTTAATATACATGAAGGGCAATAAGGAAAATCAAGTATCAATAAATGGATAAAAATGAATAAACAGATAAAGAGATGTGTTAATGGTATCAAGTAACATTTGTTACATGATTACTATATGGTAGGCATACTACCAGATGCCTTCAACTGTTTTACCAAGGAGGAAACAGAAGTTCCTAGAGAGTATATAAATTACAAAGATTACAGAAATAGTAAATGAACAAACCTGGTCTAATTCCAAGCCCATAAGCTTCTTTTCACCATGCAAAACACAGGCCTCTGCCCCAATATAGAAGCTGGTGGACACACAAATCCCAAACTAATAGGTTTCGAGAATGGTCACACAGTAAAAAAAAAAAGACTTAACCTAATCAAGTTAGCTCCCTGAAATAGGAAAACCTCTCTTCTGGCAGTGAAACCTGAAGCTAACCTCAGGCATCCAATACCCACATAAAAGTAGTATAAACAATTTGCATAGTCGTGGGACAGAAAACAGTGCTTTCTATATGAAAGCAAGCATGAAAGAGATATGATTCTTCTTTGTTCCCACCACTACAATGAAACTACTCTTGAGATCTCTAATAGCTTCTATGTTTCTAACACCAATGTATAACAGGTTGAATAATGACTACACAAAGAAATCAAATCCTAATCCCTGAAATTTGTCATCCCTAGAAGTTACCTTATCTAGAACAAAGGTCTTTATAGATGAATTAAGAATTTTGAATGAGGAGTTTGCCCTGGATTATCTATGTGAGCTCTAAATGACATCATTATGTGTTCTTATAAAAGTGGCAAGAATGTTCTTGTGAGTTGAGAGAGATGCACAGGAGAGGTGACGTTAAGATAGATGGAAACAGACTGAAATGATAAAAATCACAAATTCAGGAATACTGGGGGTAGCTAGCAGAGGCAAGGAATGGATTTTCCCTTAGAGTCCCAAAGGCAGCCCTAACAGATTTTGTAGCCTGCAGAACTTTGAGAATAAATTTATTTTGTTTTATGCCACTAAATTTGCAATGATTTGTTATAGCAGCCTCAGAAAATTAATACACAGAGTTCTCTGATCTCAATATCTTATTTTTTCTCAGCAGCACTTCACAAACCTTATTCTTCTTTCTAAAACACGCTCTTCTTATTTTTATTTTGAACTTGTTGTTATGGTTTGGATATGAGGTGTTCCCCCCAAAAGCTCATGTGTGAAACAATGCAAGAAGGTTCAGAGAAGAAATAATCAGTGAATTAATCACCTGATAGGGATTAACTGAGTGGTAACTGAAGACAGATGGGGTGTGGCTGGAGTAGGTAAGGCACTGTGGGGCAAGGCTTTGGGGTGTATATTTGTATCTGGCAAGTGGAGATCTTTCTCTCTGCTTCCTGATCATCATGTGAGATGCTGCCATACTCTCATGCCAAAATGTTTTGCCATGATGTTCTGCTTCACCTTAAACCCCAAAAAATGGAACCATCTGTCTGTGGATTGAGACCTCTGAAACCAAGAGCCTCCAAATAAACTTTTCCTCTTCTATAGTTGTCCTGGTTGGGTCTTCTTCATCACAATGACCAAAAAACTGACTAAAATAGTTGTAGATGAACACAATACCTTTATTTTATTCATCTTTCTTTGTGGTGCTGAGGATCAAACCCAGGGCCTCACAGGTGCTAGGCAAGCACCCTTCCACTGAGCCACAACCCCAGCCCCAAACACACTCTTCTTTTACTTTCTTGTCACTTGGGTCCTAAATCAAATTTACCCTCCCTGCTACCTAATTTTCTTCCCACCTCACTGTCCTCTTTCAGCCTCCCTTACTGGTTCCTCCCCCACTGCCAAGACATTTATCTGGAAGTCCCATGATTCATTCCTCATAAGCTCTATTTCTCATCTGGTGATCTCATGCAATCCCATGGCATTAAATATTGTATCTTTAGACTAAAAATTTACATATGTTTACCTTCGATCCCAAACTTCTTCACCTTGCTGCAAACTCACATATGTGCCTATTTGACATGCCAACATGCAACATGAGGGCAAACACAGAATTTCAAATTAGAATTCTCAAACTCTCTTCAAGTTTCACACACTTTCTTATACACCTTTATAAATGCTAACACCTTCTTCCCCCAAGCCGCTCAAATCAAACTCCTTTGATTCCCTTCTTTCCTTCAGTTTCCCATGTACAACACAGCAAGATCCACTCTTCTTGCAAAAAGACTTGAAATCTACGCACTTCCTCTTCTTCTCAGTACTTCTACTCTGGCCACCACTAACTCTCTCCTATGCCATGGTTAATGACTTTTAACTGGTCTCCCCATTCCCATTCTTGACCTTCAACAATGGATTTTCCATACAATAGCCAGGATAATCTTGTAAAAACAACATAGATCTTAACACTATCCAACAATTTCCTGGTGCATTTAGTGTAAAGCTCAAACTTTTTACCAAAGACTAGAAGTCCCCTTGTGGTGTGACTCTGCCAACCCTATTCCTTTCCATTGTTAACCATCATTTTGTCCTGTTTACTCTCCACATTCCAACCAAACTGGTCTTTTTTCTGTTCCTAAAATGTGCCACAGAGCTTCTGTCCATGCTGTGGCACATTCTCTATCTCCAAATCATTGTTAAGGCAGTCTCTTTTTGTAATTCAGGTTCTAGTTCAAACCTCTTCAAGTATCCTTCCCCTGACCCAATTTAAATCAGTCCCTCTTCTTTTCTCTCACAGCACATCATTCTTTGATATCTCACCATTTGACTCTTTGCTTGCTGACTACCTTTCACAACTAGAAGATGAGCTCAACAACCCTCTTGGTTACTATTATTTTGTACTTAATAGGCGTATCTGCTAAATAAAGAAAATAATCTTTTTTTCAGAGATATGAATCACAAAAATACAAGTAAATTTTTAAATGTATTTTGTAGAGATCATTTAAACACCAGCTAAATGATAGGATATCCACAACTCCTATGGCTGTCAACTTATCATCGCTCCGGAGCTCCAGCATAACGCATTTCATAATTAGTAGATTTATATATCTTGACATGATTTATCATTCAGGAGATAACAGGTGGCAGACATTGTAGAAAGTTAAAAAACAGTTTTATTTGTTTATCCTCTCAATAAATGATTAATGCTATTTGCAAATATATTCTCCTTATATAGAATACAGAAAAAGAACAAAAACATTTAAGCATTAACTGAAGATCACTTACGATTTTACCTCCCCAAAATAAGAACTGGTAACATTTTGAAATATTTACTCATTTTTATAAATAGATATGCATAACTCAGCATTTATTATATTTAACAGTATTGGTGAAAATTTGTGGTATTTCACAGGTATTCATTTTATTATGCTTTGTATTATATATTATATGGTCATATATTTTCTTTTGCATATCAAAAATTTTTAAAAATGCACGATAAA